GCTATGCAAGAACAACCCCGAAATCAATTGGGAGGAAGGCTCCCTAAAGTTATCCCGATGCCCTGAAACGTGCAGTGCCAGGGAGACAGGCCGGATGGAGCAAGCAGCGACTGCGCGTGATACAGGGGTCAGGCCCGCAGCGCGCAGGCATTCGCAGAAGTCCAAACAAGCAGTCATAGGTGCTTGCCGGAGTAAGATACTCCTGAACTTCGAACCCGAAGAAGATCCGGTAGATGTCGAGTGGGACGAAGCTGACTTGATTGAGGCCTGGGAGCAAGGTATTATGCTTCCTGGTGCCCCTCAGCTGTTTGTTGCAGCCGGGCATACGTACTCCCAGCTGTTCACTGAGGAGGAGATCAAGAAGAAGGTCGTGAAGACCACCGAGGAGTCGGTGCCTAAACAGTACCACGAGTTTCTGAAGGTCTTCTCAAAGGAAGCCTCAAAATAGCTACCTGAAAGAAAGCCGTACGATCATGCAATCGAACTCATGCCTGGCTACTCGGTGTTCCATTCAAAGGTCTATCCCCTGTCGAACAATGAACAAGAGGAACTTGACAAGTTCCTAAAGGAACAGCTAGCGAAGGGTTACATATGGGAATTGAAGTCACCCATCTCGTCTCCCTTCTTCTTCATCAAAAAGAAGGAAGGGACACTTTGACCCGTGCAGGACTACCGTTGGTTGAACACAATCACGGTTAAAAATCGCTATCCCTTACCGCTGATTGCCGAAATGGTAGACAAACTCCGCGGCGCTACGCTGTTCACGAAGTTCGACATCCGATGGGGATACAATAACGTCCGGATCAAAGCTGGTGATGAATCAAAGGCGGCCTTTGTAACTAACCGGGGACTGTACGAACCCCTGGTAATGTTCTTTGGCCTCACTAATTCCCCCGCGACCTTCCAGGCCATGATGAACGAGATCTTCCACGATCTCATCGTCGGCGGCAAGATCCTCATGTACCTGGATGATATACTCATCTTCTCCACCAACAAAGAGGAGCATGAGAAGGTTACACGCGAGGTTCTCCGGCGCCTGCAGGACAACGACCTGTTCCTAAAGCCTGAGAAGTGTGAATGGGATGTTCCCAAAGTCGACTACGTCGGCTATGTGTTTGGTGGCGGTGAGGTAGCGATGGATCCTGCGAAGTTGAAAGGAATCAATGAGTGGCTGGTATCCCGGAACAAAAAAGATGTTCAGAAGTTCCGGGGGTTCTCCAACTTTTACTGCCGCTTCATTAAGGACTTCACTAAGATCCCGCGACCACTCGACCGACTCACAGGGAACAACCCATGGCATTGGGGCGAGAAAGAGCAGCACACCTTTGATGAGCTCAAGTGGCTCTTTGCTACCACACTGGTTTTGGCATTGTATGACCCTAACTGAGAGACGCGCATTGAGGTTGACGCCTCCGGCTATGCCACTGGTGGTGTATTGATGCAGAAGCAGGATGACAGCAAGTGGCATCCCATCGCCTTCCGGTCTCATGCTATGGACCCTGCCCAGTGTAATTATGAGATCTACGATAAGGAGATGCTTGCGATCATTGAGGCGCTAGACGATTGGCGCCACTATCTCAAGGGATTGCCCAATCAGTTCGAGATCATAACCAATCACAAGAACCTTGAGTACTGGCGCACGTCCCAGCATCTTACGCGTCGCCAAGCACGCTGGTCACTGTTCCTGGCTCACTTTGATTTCCGCATCACGCATAAGGCCGGAACATCGAATGGAAAGGCTGATGCCCTATCATGCCGATCAGATCATCAGGTCGGCAATAAGGATGATAACACCGATCAGGTTGTTCTTCGACCGGAAAAATTCCGCATCGCCTCTGCCAGGCGCAGTCATGCCTCAGTAACAGCCGATCAGTCGCTTCTGAAGTGCATCAGGGAGTACTTGGAGAAGGATCGAGAGGTGGCCGAGGCACTTGAAAAGGTGCAGAACCTTGGGCCGCCCCGGCTACAAACAGGCTTTGAGGAGTGGAATGCCAAACAAGGGCTCCTGCTGTTCCGCGGGATGGTCTATGTCCCAAAGAATGTGGAGCTCCGGTGGGATATCGTCAAAATTCACCACGACTCGCCGATCGCTGGACATGGCGGTCGCGCCAAAACCCTTGAGCTCGTATTACGGAAATACTAGTGGCCTAGGATGTCTAAATTCGTCAACGAGTACATAAGCACCTGCAACTGCACTTCAGTGGGCGGTGCTTGTCCTCACGGACACGTGGTCTAGGTTCCTGCTGCATACTAGCCAAAAGGGCCCTATGTGAACTGCGAACCTCAGGGTCTTCTCGGGTGCTGTAGTGTAAGCTAGTTTAGTACGGCCATTCGTAGTACGCGCACCTTCCCATCCTCCCCCCACCCATCGTGGCTGCCTGTCAAGGCCAAGTTCACGCCTTCGACTCTCAGGACCTCGTCAACGTCTACATCCCAGATGGCCCTGAGACTATCATCCTCACCTGCGAGCAGCAGCCGTGCCCCAATCGGACACCCCGATCGATCAAACAAGACTACCCACGCTACAAGGTGATCATGTTACAGTTTCCCTAATTTTACCTAATTTTTCCGCTATTTCTGCGGACATATCAAAGGGTATAGGGACTTATTCATACTTATCCGTCCGCATATGGGTACATCTGCATATCTAAGGGGTTATCCGCTTAAATAAGCGACACATGATCTTGTTCTGGACACATCAGGCTGGACTCTGATGCCGGACCTTTTCTAGATAGAAACCAGACTCTGTCTGAACCATGACATCATTCTGACATCATAGATAGGAGCTAGGCTTAGGCACTAGGCCATAGGCCAGTCAATTCTGGACCCTAGGCCCAGGGCAGGGCAGGGCCAGACTATGACATCATATATGACATCATAGGGCACATGATACTTAGTAATCCTTACTTGGCTAGGTACCAGGGGTCCATTACCGGTCCCTGGGGGTTTTCCCTCATGTATATAAGGCAGCATCCTGGGGCACCCTGTCCCCCAGTTCTATTCACTTTGTTGTTGTGCTTAACAGCATTACCTCCCCCACACTTAAGTGCTATTATCTCCCCCCCTCAGTATCAAGCTATAAGGTGGGTTTGTAGGTTTTGTGATAGATCAGAAGGGCCCAACATCCGCTCAGCCCCCGCAGTACCCACGCATCTCAATCTGCCTTGCGGCACTCTCACCCTGTCTCCCCTAGCTCCTGCCTTCCCCAAACTGTCACGAGTTGACACGGCGTCTAGCCGTTTTTTAATTTTTTCCTTTTCGCGGGTTCGAGCCCGTGACCTCTATACTACATGCCTGATATGGACACATCACTATCTACTGTATGATTAGATTAGATAGGGCAGCAGTGCACGGCACAGCTTGGGCTCCACTGACACAGCCTCTCTGACTCACCGGCCCCTGGGGCCGCGTCAGCATGCTGCGCACGGACCAGCTGCGCACGGACCAGTGCGCACAGCCTGCCCTCATCTTCCCCTGTATATAAGCCGGCCTCTGCTGCCCTAGGGACCTCAGTTTCGACCTCTTGTCCCTAGGTCAGTAAGCCTTCCTTGTATTCCTTCTTACCTTACTAATATATTCACTTGTCCCTAGCCTTAGGTTTGAGCATTGCTTACCATCGCTTCAGTGAGAATCAGTCAGACGCCCCCAGCTTTCAGGTTTTCTCCAGTCGCTTGACCTCAAGTCGTGACAGCTTCCTTGGAGAAGACTTTCAGGAACTCGTGATACTGTTTAGACACCGACTCCTCGGTGGTCTTCACGACCTTCTTCTTGATCTCCTCCTCAGTGAACAGCTGGGAGTACGTATGCCCGGCTGCAACAAACAGCTGAGGGGCACCAGGAAGCATAATACCTTGCTCCCAGGCCTCAATCAAGTCAGCTTCGTCCCACTCGACATCTACCGGATCTTCTTCGGGTTCGAAGTTCAGGAGTATCTTACTCCGGCAAGCACCTATGACTGCTTGTTTGGACTTCTGCGAATGCCTGCGCGCTGCGGGCCTGACCCCTGTATCACGCGCAGTCGCTGCTTGCTCCATCCGGCCTGTCTCCCTGGCACTGCACGTTTCAGGGCATCGGGATAACTTTAGGGAGCCTTCCTCCCAATTGATTTCGGGGTTGTTCTTGCATAGCCAATCTAACCCAACGATCACATCTTCCAGACTGATGTCCGTGACTGTAAACACTGTCTTCTTGATGT